AGAGAGAGAGAGAGAGAGAGAGAGAGAGAGAGAGAGAGAGAGAGAGAGAGAGAGAGAGAGAGAGAGAGAGAGAGTTGACACTGGGACTTGGTAACTTTCGGGCATTGCCCGATTCAGTGACACTGCCACTTGACACTGTATGAGCAGTGACATTGGAGATACATTGGAGACTGGGTTCATCGGGCTATGGTGGCCGATCCTCCCTTCGTCTCTCCTCCCCCATCCTCATCCGTGTATGCATTCGGACTCAGCACACCTTCTATGCTTGCTGTGCTCAGTCCGCTCACACCTTGTGATGATGGTTGCAGTCAGATCCTGACATTGTTCATGCTGAGTCAGATCTTGGTATTTCAGTCTTCCACTGCGCTATTTGTGTATTGTCTCTGAGAGGTCGGTTCTTGGTTCTGATCGATGCCGATTAGGCATGCGACAGTTTGGTATCGGAGCCAACCTGCGAGAGTACAGGATCTGCTCAGCACAGTTGCCACCTTGATTGATTGATTGATTGGTTGATCGCTGCAATTTTTTTTCTGTTTCAGTAAGTTGTTGTTTTCTGCATCATATCAGTCCCCGTGCTAATTACTAATTAGCGCTAGCGCTAACTTTTGATTAGCGCTAATCAGGTATTTTCGCACTAAATAGCAACTCAGTGCTAACTGGGATTACAGGCAGCGCTAATTACCTAGTGCCACTTAGGGTAGTGTGCAGAATAGTTACGGTTAGCAGCAGTGGTTAATCGTGTCGTTAGGCTAATTGCAAGTTATAACCCTAATTACGACCCTAATCACGAACCTAACCTACGCAGCATACTCTGATCAGCAGCGGTGGACTAACCCTGCCCTTTTTCCACCTGCAGTTCACTGCAACTTCAGGAAAAAGCTCGTTTTTTAAAATTATTCCTGCTCAGTGCTCACTGCTCATACTGAAATTCGAAATTGTTATTTCACGGAGTAGGAAAGTCGGATAATTCGATTTGGAAATTATAACATTTTCGCTATTTTTTGAATTTTTTTCCGAATTCGATTTTCTGCAACAAAAAAAAAAGGGGGGAAAATTCAGAACTTTCGTCAAATTTTTCCTCTTTTATTGCTACCGGGGTGTCAGTTTGGTCTTTTGTCAACTGACACAGCAGGGAAGCCACTGCTCAGTCCCACATTTTCAATTTTTTAAAAATTTTCCAAGTTTGGGGGGGGAATTGTTTTCCCTTCATTAGTGTCTTACCTGCCTTAGGGGGGGGAGTGCAGTTCGGGTGCTTGGCCTGCCTGTCTTTCTTCTCTTCCTTTCCACCTTTGTCTTGACCTCAACGGCTGGGCAAGTGCCATGTGAGTGGGATGCCATGTCAGCAGGGTGCCACGTCGACAAGGTGCGACGTTAGCAGGGTGCAACGTCAGCCGTGTGCCACAATGTGCCACGTCAGCAGGGTGCCAGTCAGCCGTGTGCTACAGTGTGCCACGTCAGCTGGAGTGTGTTTTTGATGCTCCGGCGCAGTGCGAGGCTTGCTGCACGACAACAGGCTGCCGAACCTGCTCCCACACCTCGGCGAAAGCGCCGGATGGTCGTAGTTTGGCCATCGCATCCTCAAGCAGTGGCCACGGCCGGATCAGCAGCCGCTGCCGGTGCCGGGACCCACCTGGGGGCCAAGCAGCCTGCAACCAGGGTCCTCCCGGCATGCTGGGCCAGCAACCGAACGAGTACATGGCGGACTTCCTCGTGCGTGTGCAGACGTACAAGAAGTTCGTAGAAGCTGCAGCCGAACAGCGGCATTGGCAAGAGGCTGCCGCTGCCGAACAGCGGCGGCTGCAAGCCGAAGCAGCTGCAGCACAACAATGCCAAGAGGATGAAGCTGCCGCCGCCTTGCAACACCTCTGCAGGGATGCAGCTACGGCCCTGCAACAGCGCAAGGCGAAGTATGCCACAACACTCAAGAAATGGCACTTTACACCGACGGAGAGCAACAGCAATCCGACGGATGCGGACAAGACCAAGGAGGATATCTCCAAGATGATCGCACAGCTCATCGCCACCTGCAATTGGCAGCAAGCTGAGTTGCAGCGACTCTCACTCGTTATCGGGGATGAAAGGGACCAGCAAGTTGGTACCAACCACAGTTTTCACACCCGACTTGTGGACTTGGAGAGTAGGGACGCCACCACACCAGGCAGCGGACCTAGTACTGGCCAGCTGTCGACACGACAGGTGGAGCAGCGGATTGACCATGTAGTCGCCATGATCGGTGACCTTGGCATGTTCACGGGGCCAGCGGTGATCAGCCAGCAGCTCACAGCGCTGAAGGTCGACGTCCGTACACTGCAGCAGCATCCAGCCAGCAGCAGTAACTCGCGTCTGTACAAGATGCCGACGTTTAGCAACGACAAGTTCGACGACTACACCAAGGCAGATCCGCTCGCTTGGTGGCAAGTTTTCACCCCCGAGCTAGGAGTTCACGAAGTCCCCGAGCGCCTCAAGATTGTGGCGCTTTACCTCAGTTCCACCCGGACGTGCCAAATTTGGCTCAACCACCTGGCAGTCAAGGAGGGGGTCAATGCGTAGAATCTGCACACCAAGCTGGACTGGGATGCCATCACCACCTTGTGGAAATCACGCTTCATCGTGCAGGGTGCCGAGGCGAAAGGCGTCAACCAAGTGTTCCAAATGTTTCAAGGAAGTCGGCCAACACGCGAATGGTTGCCCAAATGGCAAAAGATAGTTGCCATTCCGGACTTGAACTTGCTGTTCGAACACATTCGGCGCGAGTTCTTCAAACTGAAACAGTTTTCACCTTTGGCAGTAGCCGATGCAGATCCCAGGGGTCGATCCCTTGACCTCAGCTTACCTGTGTA